CTCTGACCCCATTGTTCGGTCAGATTTCCTAAGATTCTAAGATTTAAGATGTAAGTCATGCCTTCTAAACATCCACTGAGACAGCCTGCCTTCAGGCATTATCAGCATGATGTATTGTCCTGGATAAAATGAGAAGAGAAGCATCCAGTTGCCTATGGCACAAAGAACGTACACTTACTAATCATCATATTAAACTTTTTCTTTGTTTGTGTTTGTGCCTGTCTTTTTCCTGTCACACTTTGTACCCCAACAGCCACTAGTAGTGTTTTCCCCTCATTCTTTTGGAAATGGAGTTTTCAGTTTGAGGCAGAAGCAATTTTAAAAACATCAGCTTCCCCCTCAGCACAGCCAGGTGGCCTCCAGTGGGTCTCTTTAAATCTTTTCTAACACTTTATTTGGGGCAGTGGCCCTGGATGTATAGGATTTTATGACTGACATGGGTTTTAAGGATGAGCCAAGTGAGAAGACTCAACAAATTTGGACTCTGAAAAAGATTCTGGTAACAGAGAGGCTCAGTGTGCATTTTTTTGAGCTGCCATTATTTCACTGACCATTCTGTGGGTCATTAAGCTGCCAGTGGATCATTACTATGAAGCAACCTGGTCTGGTCATACAGCAGTGTCCGAGAGCCCAAGTGTCTATTTGAAACGGGCTCATCGTTTTGTTTCTGACAGAGTTTCCACACCAGCCCTAAAACAGTGACTGGGGACAGAGCTTTAAAGCGATCAGAAAGTTCCATGTACTGTATGTACCTTTCACTGCAGCTGACCAAATGGCACGCCAGAGTCAGAGGGACTCTGGGGATTAGTGGTGCTGTCAGGGGGGAGTCATGAGACATGATACCTTCAACTCTCTCCCTGCACCAGCCTCTTACTGTGGATACAAAATAAATGCCAGTTTTTCCCGTGTTAACCTGCTGGTTGGGGGATTTTTCCTGTCTGAGGCTGATCTCCACTATGTGGTCTCCTCTTCACAGGGGTAAATATAAGGCTGCAACAGGCACTTAGTTTAACTGATGATTTTTAAAAATTAATTTATTACTCATTTCACCTATAAAGTAGTGAAAGTTGCACATCACAATTTCCCAGAGCAAAGGTGAGCCCAGGGTGATACCTTCACACTGCTTAACATTACTGTCATAAATGATAAAGGAAAAGGACCAACTCCTCTCATTTGAGAAGCTGCAGCTATCGCATACTGTATTTGGCATTTTTGTTTGGAAAAATAACTTAAACCGTTAAAGAGCTTTTGAATTGTCAAATTTCTTCCAATCAACTGTTGACTATTTTTACTGCTCTATTTACTGTACATTTGCCATTTGGATGTTAGTTCCTGGATTTGTATTTCTACCTTAGCAAATGTCAGAGCTGTTATACTGTATGTGAGCTCATTTGAGGAACATAAATGTTGGTGAAAAGGTCAGTTAAAGGTCAAATCTCAGCACTGAAGTGTGTGTGTGTGTGTGTGTGTGTGTGTATAACAGAATTAGGTTGTGCTATCAATACGCAAGTCACTGAGGTTTTACTATTCTCAGTGCATAATGTCAGCCTAAAGACTACACAGAAATTAGTGTTGACACGTTATTGACACGCAATCATTAGGCAAGGCCATTATAAGCCATTCGCATTACAGATCAGTCTTGCCACTGTGGTTAGGTGTGCAAGTCGGGAGGTTACTTCATGACTACTTATCACACAGTGACAGTACACAGACAGCTGCATGGGTGAGATTCATTAGAGGCTTAATAAGGAAACGTGGACCTCAGTGGCCTCATACTGTGCATGCATGTTGCTGTTTACTGCTGCATGTTAATATCACAGGAGCTGATTCAGTGGTCAGACCGAGCATCCTCATAATAGCACTGTTGTCCCTTGGCTATTAGTGTATTCTGAAAACCACACAGGAATTAAATCTAATGGCAAATTTGAAAAGTTGCATGTACATTTGAATGCATTTGTATATATAAATTGTCTAAAATCTAGTTTGTGTTTTTTGTTTTGAAGCGGTAGCCACAGGGAAACTTCTGGACCTGACTGAGGGAGCCAATGTGCCGCCAGTCCACTCAGGAACAAAGCAGGCTCAACTGGATCCCTTTATGGTGCATAATCACGCAACAGAGAACAACAATACTGTATGGGTAAGGCAGGAGTTGGGTAAGGCAGGAGTTGGGTAAGGCAGGAGTTGGGCTGGCCAGTAAGTTTCAGCTGGTTAGGTTTGATAAGATGGGAAGGGAAGAACGCCATGCAAAAAACAAATTTAGTGACCAAAGTGTAGATTCTACAGCTACACTGAGTTAGACAATAGCCCATTCAACAGAACCTACTTTATCAAATGGTCACATAGCTAGATGGGGTGTGGAGCTGAAAGTAGTCTAGATTAAGACCAGGTAAGTGGGAATGTGGTCAGAGGTGACGTAACTGTAAGCATGTGAGTGATATCCCTTGATTAGTACTTGTATTATTATTCTCTGTTATCTCTAGAGAATAGATACGAACTTGACCTTAACCAATCTGTGTGTGTTTTCTCTGGCAGGAGTTGGACGATGGTCTGGACGAGGCTTTCTCAAGGTGAGAACCGGTGTGGATTTGGCTTTTCCCTAAAGCTCCGCTAAACAGCCATATAAGTTGCTGTTCTTGAAATAGTTGCTTATGATTCTGGCTGCCTCTCGCAGCACTCTGTTCACCCCAGTGCACAACCCACAAACAGGAGACAGGCTCAGTTTACAGGCCCTAGCACAACCAGCACCCGCCCTGAGTCACACTGCTTTTGTAAACTCCATTTACCATCATGTCAGGCCCACACACTGATTTTTATGAGCTCAGGAAGCCTGTGATTATCACTGGTTATTTATATCACAAAACCATAGGGAAGTAACTGTTTGCTGTAAAGTAGTACAAGGAGGAAAAACTCTGGAAAAAGATCAGGTCTTAGCGTTTTCAGGTTCATGGTTAACAGGAACTTTGTGTTGATTGGAATTCCTTGAATTCTGCCTTCAACTAACCAATTTGAATTGAAACCATTTTGATTAATGTTTCAATTTAGTGTCCATTAGCAAATAAGCTGTGGTGAGCTGCTGTCAGGTTGCACAGTGCCGCTACGTAAAGCTACTGTTTAGGAACTTTTCTGACAGTCCCAGTTATATTACTAGTGCATTATTAGTGCATTTATTTCCTTTTCATTCCCTCTGCTAATTCGATAGTGCCCTTCTTATTTTCTCATTTTCTCTGCTCATTATTTTCATTTATTGAGAGGGAAAATGGCCTCCACAGGCTTTGTAATCAAGTGCCAAGAGGCCATTTTAGCCCTGTTATCAGATGATTATTTGCCTGCACACACTGTAATTACAACCTAACGGTGTTAATCTCCTGCTCTGTGATTAACGAGGATGCTCCCACACAAGCAGAGATGTATCTACATATAGTAACTGAAGGAAATTCAGGGGCCCAAAGGCCAGTGTGACACTTTTGTCCATTAGGAGAAGACGAAGCAGAAGAGACAGCTAGAGACAATTTGTGATTGTGTGAATGAGAACATCACCGAATGATGGTGTATATATTCACTGTACCTGATTGTTGTTGTGTGACAAATACAGGTTTGCTTGAGGATTAAAATAAGATCCAGATGAATGGATTGTTTATCGTCTTAGTAACATACCGTAAATGTGGATTGTCTTCACTGTTCCTTAAGCTTTCACACAGTATTATTAAAAATACTAACCAAACTATAAACAAGAGGTTAGTGGTCAGAGGGTGTAACTTAAGTTAAGCTTGAGAAACACATGCAACCATATACAGTAGCACATCTGAGAGTCTTTATGCTTATACCAACCAGTATGTTAAAAATCCAAGCAACCCTTTTAAATATTTCTGGTGTAGCTGTATCATGTATTTTCATAGCTTAAAAACACATCCTCTCCAGAAATGACTAATCAAGCTAGGTCCATGGGTAGAACACCACTACCAATGTTATCGGTTCACTGATCAGTCATAAAACATCTTTAAGCCCGACCTTCATCTTAAAAACACTTTAACCGGTACATTATTCAGAGGAACATTCTTTAGGCTCTGCTATTTAAAATGTTACCATTACTAAAAGGATGGTAGCATCTTATTTGCTATATAGTGTATCCCCATAAGCAAAACTAGAATTAGCATTAATTAGAAAGTTTCGTAAATTATACCTTAGCAGCCTTCAAACTCAAATCCAGTAAAAACAATTCCAGGCTTTCCTCAAGTTTGGGCCGATATGTCAGTTGTTACCTTTGCAGATCTGTGGCTTCAAACAGAAGCTGGGAGTCCTCTGGTCTAATGCTAGCTAGTTTTAGCAGCCCCAGGCTTCATGGTCACAAGAGAAGAGGGCGACTGAGATAACGTTGCTCAAACAGGGAGGGATTTTATTCTGCCTTGTCTCAGTGAAAATAATATTTGTCCTCTTCTGATTCGCATCCTGCACCACACTTTTATGGTAACTTTTTCCATTAGTACATTACTGCACTGACTGCTTCCCTGAAACAGCAGTGCTTCTCATGTCACATTGGAAAAAATATCCACAATCTGTTAAACATCATCCATTCATGTTTGTGGCAGCTGCTTTAGACTGTATGAACTCAGTGATTACGCTGACCAGCAGAAGTGAAGATACACCCATCGGAGGACCAGTGACCCTTGTGTGACGTCATGTTTAAAGGACCCATTTGATCAGAATTTTATTTTGATATGCAAACAGACACCAGGGCCTTGTCCCCTTCCAACATACTGTGTAACAGGCAGGAAACTGTGTGCAGTACAAAAACATCTGCTCCCTTACTGCAGTGTCGGTGTTTATATTTTGAGGTTAAATGTTGCTGTTTCTTATTTTAAATTTTTTTTCTTTCTTTTTGATGAGTGACATTTAAATTTGTTTAGATGAGCAGATTTGACATTATACTTTTTGGTTTGAAGTACAGCTCAAATCAGATGTCATTGGCTGCACTGCCATCTGCTGGCTATGGAGTGTTGACTCACTGTAGATGTCAAAGCCTTTGATATGGCTGTTGATCAGAGTGGGAAAAATGTCAGCATGGTATAGATATGTCTTCTGCCATGCAAAGAAAATGGTGGGCCGGTTATATAATTATGCTTAAGCCTGAGATTTGTCTTCAGTTAGTCAACTCTACACATTTGCATTTGGACATAAAGTGATTGGGACCACATAAATGTATCCATTCACTTTATGATAAGGCAGTTCACATTGTTGGCTGACTTGTGATGTTTCCTTTGCACCCCCAGCCGCAGTCTGGATAGTTTTGAGTCCTATTCAGGTAACAATGTCATTCACTGGGTCTAGTGGCTTCCACCTCATTCTTTCCTAATCCATCTGCCTGGATATCAGATTAATAAAGTCATATCTAGCTGCACATTTTCTTCTAAGGTCATTTATCATTAATATAGTTCAGAACCTTTGTAAGGCCCCCAGTTGTCATTTGATCCATTCCTGAGGGTCATAAAAGATGTTTCTCTGACCCAGAATCTGACTAGTGTGTCCACATCTTCATCACAAATGTTTTCTCAGTTTAGTAACATGACACTGAATGAGAGATGACAGGGTGAACAAAAAATTCTGTATGTTCACATGTAGGTCTAACTTTTTTGTGTTTTAATAGGCATTTTGTTTTTACTGTAGACTGGGGTGACCTAGTGATTAGTTCTCAAAGGGAGTCATTTTATCACCACATCTGGCTACATGTGGCTTCTTTTCATTAGGCCACAGCCATTGTGTTTTTCATGTCTATGTCCATACACTCTGTGCACACTGTACATACCATTGTTCAGTTATTTTAAATGTAATGAACTGTCATTAGTAATAACAGACATTTTGATCATTAGCCAGGTTTCATCCTAACAGACGATAACAGAATGTTTCTGTTCCTTCAGACTCGCTGAGTCTCGCACTAACCCCCAGGTCCTGGACATTGGGGTAAACCCTCAGGACTTCAACACAGAAGAGTGCCTGTCACCAGGTAAATGGGACCAAGAGGACACAGACTTCACCGCACAAAAAGACACTTTTGGGTTCTAAAGTGAAGCCTCTGCCCAGAGGGGAGAAACGGAGAAATTTAAAGAGAAATGGTGGAAAACTGGTTGGAAACCAGAGAAGTAGCAAGAAAGACATTTGTGACATCAGTGGGGTTTCCCACCTTCTCTGTGTTGCCACATCCTCTCAGTTGTGCTGTGTAGTGGGTCTCTGATGCTTCTGCAACTACATGACCAGGGAAGGGCTACATGGGCAGGCAGCTCACAGAACAGGCCAAAGCAATACAAACCACTTGATCCCTTTTTTATGGGAGAACATGCAGTCACTTAATGTTTGTTACAGTCGGCACATTACTTCCTCTTCTGTGTCTGTTAACCCATTCACTGTTTTTAATGTGCATATGTACATTGCTTTAAACAAAGTGTGTATGTGAGGATGTACAATATATAAATGTGCAAAGTGAGGTATGGACTATAATGCAAGTTGAGTATGGAACAGTTCATTGAGATAAATTCAACATGGGTGCTGTCATATTTTAATTACTCAGAGATGGAGAAATGTAACTGGATTATATGGGGAAACTCACCAGTGCACCAGTTCTCATACTGGACAAAACAATTAACCTACTACCTATGTGCTTCAAGGCTTCAGCCTTTTGTTGGTTGATAAAAGCTTTAAAAAAAAGTGTGTATGTCTTGGTTAGAGTGTGAAAAATGGATGAGAACAAAATGACAATCTTAGTTTTTTTTCTATAATGCAAAATCTATTTTTGCACTCATCTTTCAAAGCACACATTTCATTTCATGTAAGGAAATATATCAAAAAAAGCATCAAACTTATGATTTAGGCTCATATACAGTGTCTCTACGCTCTCTTCCCCTTTGGACTTTTTCACGTTTTGTTTTGCACCTCTGAATCACAGTGGGTTCTTTATGCTGCTTTGACTAAAATGTCCAAGGCTCATGGAGAAACCTCAGGGGTAAAGCTTTTGACGTTACTGTCTTTTCTTTGATTATGTCAGCAGGCCCCATATGATTCATAGCAGGATAAAGAAAACATGAAAGTCTAAGGGGGTGCATGTGTTATATTTGGCACTCTACCACTTTGTGTTAAATTATAATGTTGCATTGACTTTGCTAGTTTGCCTTTTTTCTATGGATGGTTCCCAGTATTATTTTTGGCATTTGTTTATGTATGATTTTAATTTAATTTATGAATTTGCATAAATTTCAATAAATGTACAGTTGTGCATATGCACGGTTTACTTCAGTTTTTATTACTGCACAAACTGAATATATCTGGAGCGAAAGTTTATCCTGAACTGTAGTTGGTTTCATTAGCTGAGGCTAAAGCAGACCTACATTTTCTAAACCTTTGAGCACTTGTACTATTAAACTCCTGCTATAAGGTTTCCATTTCATGCTAATTTGAAGTGCAACTATTGTACTTTTCACTTCTCTGTGTTTCATAGACAGTGATAGGCTACTAATAATTTTGCAGATTCAAATTTTATACAAAAATAATATAAAACAACATACAGAGCAGAGGGACGGGCTGCTTGTCACCATCTGCTGGTCTGTTAAAATCTCTCCCTGTGCTCCTTTAACTTTCTTTTCAAATTCAGACTTGTTGTATTGGCATGACCACAAGCAGTGGTGGAAGGTAACTAAGTATATTTACTCAAGTACTGTACTTAAGGACAATTCTGGGGTATCTGTACTTTAGTATTTTCATTTTGTGCCACTTCATACTTTGTCGTCACTACATTTTAGAGGGCAATGTTGTACTTTTTACTCTGCTACATTTATTTGATAACTTTAGTGACTAGACCTTTTTCTGAATCAGATTAATACAAAAATTAGAGTATAATCATATTAATCTCTGGTGGAAAATTCACAATCTACCCAGCAGTAATTCAGACCATAAGCATTCATTCATAAGCATATAAGCTAGTTAAATTAGCTCCACCTTTATATTAAATGTGATGAATACAATACATGCATCAGTAATTATAATCCGATAATGTGATATTTTGTACATTAAATATATTAAATTAAGTGTGCCATTCTGCATGATAAGTATTTTAAGTATGCTTTGATGCTAATACTTTTGTACTTTTACTTAAGTAGCACTTTATTTTTACACTGTTGTATGGGTGCTTTTATTTAAGTAAAAGATCTGAGTACTTGCTTGACCACACTGACTTAGCAGGTCACAGGCCTGCAAAGTTTACAGTGTTAGAATTCAGAATGGAAGACAAGCAAACGGTGCTGAAAGGGGGAAAATACATAAAATGATTTTAAAAATGTGTTAATGTTGCTGTCTGTCTTGCTCGTGTGTGCACTCGCGTCAGTAAATGAAGTCCCAACCAAGGTTATGACTGTTCTGCAGACCCATCTGAATCTCCTTTTGCATCTGGACTCTGACACGAGCAGACCTGTTGCAAAGACGACCTGAGAAAGCAACTCTTGAAAAGCGACCTCTTGCTACAACAACTGAACTTCGGCTCTTGTTGTCCAGCAAAACTTCCACATTAATAAACTGCCCTAGAAACACCACCAAGTTGATCATGTCCTTGAACAGGCTTCTGCAGCACCTGCTGGATCATCGTGCAGGTCAGACAGAAACACTCTTCTTCACACTTCTCCACTGGAAATTAAATGTGTCTCCCTAAAGCCATTTAGCACCCTCTCCTTGTAAAAAAAATAAATTTAGGTTTTTAAATTCAAAGGTGGGCAGATCACAGAAAGTTAGTAGACCTACTGGTAAAACCGATTTGGTGAATACAGAATTTTATTAGACCCTTTCTTGATAGAAAGCCTTGAGGAGTCAGTGCCCTCAACCTCCAGCCTCAGCTCCTCCAGAAACAGGAGCAGGGAAGAGAACTACAGGGATTCAGCACCCTCTACTTCTGGCCCCCATTCCTTCACAATTAGGAAACCACCATGGATGTTTCCTTTTGACCAAAAGTGGTATGATGACAGTGACTCCGATTAGGATTTTCACCAGGAATGCAGGTTTCTCACAGCTCCTAGCACATACAGACTGTAAGTAAGTTTTGGCAGACAACAAATGGTCAAGGATGGGGGATGAGGTAAGGGGACAGGTAGGTTTTTACAGGTCTATCCAGGGGAGGACATATTTCCAGGTCAAAGCACATGTGGAGGAAAAGGTAAACTTGAGCATTTGAATTTCTTTACTCATTTAATGTACAATATGACCTTATAAACTCTTATTACAGTAGTAATTCAAAGATTATGCATATTATTGTACTAACTGTACTAAGTCTCCTGCAAGTTTTGACATATTGTATTTACTACAGTAAATTATTTATTTTACTGACTGCTGTACTAGTATGCAATTTTCTTATTAAAGTGCAAAATAGTTTTTATTTACATTCTCTCTGTCAGTAGATTTTAAAAAGTCACCGGAGAAGATTCTCATCTGTAGAAATGTTAGTTACATGTTGCGATAATTGTAAAAGTATTAAAAACTGTACTGACAGAGGGTGGAGATTTTTTCTGGAGCTACATCTGTTCAAATGGACTTTACTTCTGACTGAATGTAAATAGAAGTTTCATGAAATAATCTGCAATGCATGTTTACAGAAAACAGACATTTATATAACTGTCTGCCTCTAATTCACTGGGGTCATGACCTTACGTTAATGAGCCAACTTGTATGACAGCTATCCCGTGGTGTGTCTAGTGTGTCTAAATGTTGTGTGCAGATGTTGACATGGAGTGACCAGTGCAGCCAGTAAGAAAGAACAGGAAGTCATTACAAACAACACCCTGATATGCAGATGTAGTGATGTAAGTGACTCTGGCAACACAAACATAATAATGCTATTAAGATTTTAAACAGCAGCTGGAGGTGATTGTGCATTTTTACTGATTAAGATAAACTAAAACTTAATTAATCTTTACAACTGCATTGATTGTATGGCAGTGACTGCTACAGTCAATCAGTTAGCCAGTCAGAGGGCCACACTAGCAGTTCTGTGAGGCTGTATTTAGGCAGAACCAGGAAAATACTATCATTATGCTAACATATTTAGAATAACACTGCTAACATAGCAGGTATAATGTTTAGACCCTGTTTAAAACAGCATCTTCAGTATCAATGGTTAGCATGCTAAGTGTACTGTAAACTAAAACACACATGGAACGGCATAAGCTTTGCAGGTATTTGTTCACAAACCAAAGTTTGACCTGGGTAAAAATTAGGGCATCACCAAAAGTATTACAGCTCATCTTAATGAGGACATAAATGCCTGTATAAAATTTCATGGCACTCCATCATAAAGTTGTTTAGATATTTTAGTCTGAACTAAAGTGGTACATGAACAGACAAAGCAACACTGCCATGCTGCTCACATGACTTTTTAAAAAAAGTTTAAAAGCCCTTTTACCATCACAGACATGTGACTTAACCCATATCTTACTTTTTAGGCCCATATTCACATTCATATTTCAACTTTGAAAAGAAGCTTAATCGACTATTCTCTGCCTTTTGGAAGCTGTAGTTCTTGGTTTTTATTTTTTAATTGCAATGTGCAGTCTGTAATGGGACTCACACCTGTGTTAGTGGGAAAATGATATTTTGTGATTTGATTGAACTGAATTAGCAGCAGAGCTGCAGAAGATCAATTCATTCTTTAAGTTTAGAATATTTTTGTTGCTATATGAGAGACTACACTGCCATCTTCTGGCATAGCCATGTAGTTATATACCTTCCCTTTTGGATTATATAGCTTTATCACAACCTTTCCCTTTGTTTTGGCTTAATAAAAGAGGAGAAGGAGCAACCCTGGACAGGTTACCAGTTCATCAAAGGGCTGACACATAGAGACAGACAACCATTCACACTCCTTCACACCTATGGGCAATTTAGAGTCTTCAGTTACACATTTATTATTTTATTTAAAATTCTAACAAAAAATAAGATGAATTTTGTAGTCAGCATGCAACTAATGCAAAACCTTTGCAGGATTCTGTTCAGCACTTTTTCTGAACTGATTCAGTCTGGTTTGAAGTTTGTCCTGTTGTGACAGTGTCTGAAATGACACATTTAGTTATGACAGATTAGAGGATTCAAAATCATGTACTATGCCCACAAACACATTGTGAATGCATATATTTAATACTAGATTTCTCTCTTGATATAGGTTTTCCTGAACTGGGGTATATATTTGTCCACACGTAGTAATAGAATCAAGATCATCATGGCCATTTAGATTTAAGATCCCGGCACCTAAACCAAGTCTAATTAGGAGTTGTACAGAAAATGTAACACTCATTGTCAGCCTTTACCGAACCTTGATCTGGAACACAGTTCAGTTTTGATAAATGGTTAAACTGAACAGCGCCTCCAAGCCTTTTAACGTTAGGTACCACCCGAAGAAGAAGACGCAGGTAGACGACGAGGCCAGTTGATCTTCCGCGTGCTTGTAGTTGCATCAAGTGCCTTTGCGCGTGGCCGAGAGACCGATGGGCGGCAGTTAGCGCTGTTAGTTTGCTGATTTTCAAGAAGAGGTGAGTATATTTTGCTTTAGGTGGACCGTTGGCACTAAATTTAGGTGGCTGGCATTAACTTATTTTAACTTACCCTCGTACAGTGTATTTTTGTCAGGGATCAGTGGCATTAACCAAGTTAACATGGTTAGATGACATTAGCTAAATCTGAGTGCCGCCGCTAACGTTAGCTAACCTTAACCTTAACGTTAATGGCCGCCAATAAGCTATTTCTGTGGTTGAGTTGTAAGCTAACGTTTATTTCACTGTTGACCAAGTTTGCTTACCTGAATGCTGGAAACTGCTAACGTTATTTACTGTAGATAACTAAAGCCGACTTAACCCAATTTAACGCCTGCCTTAAATGTTTGAAGTTTATCCGGAACTTGATGCAATATTGAGGGGAATAATGTTACATTAATTAACGAAAACTAAGTAACTTTAACATTAACTGTCATGACAAGTGAATCTGAAGTTTTGCTTTTGTTGCAGCAAATTGTGCCTAACTGTCCTTAAATTTACTGTATATGTTTCTTAATATAAACCCGCCAATAAAGCAAAGGTTATTAGATGCACAGTTCGGGTTCGTTTCCTACTTAAAGGTGTCCCAAGGAACAAGTTCAGGTCTTTACAAAAACAAGTGACATAGAATAACGTGTATTTTGCTCAGCCACTTCGGATATTCTCTAAAGTAGAATAATGAGACCCAAGATCATAGTGTTAGAACCCAAAGCCACCATAATTCAGAGAGAAGATTTTAAACAAAACTATACAGATATATTTTTCAGCATTATTTGAAGGCTTTTGAACAAGCAGTGAAGGGGCCTCTGTTGTGATTAGCTAAGAAGATGATGGTTGTGTGGTTTAAAACTTTGGGTGCAGTTATTTGGGGGAGTAGCTTGCTGGGTCTTGCCTCACTTGAAATACTTAATTATGTACTGCAAATAAGTTATTTAACTGTTTCCATTAACTGTTCATGTACAACGTTTATATTACTTTGGTTTATGAAGTGATTTTTTTTCCTCCTCCAACAGTCATGGAAGAAAAATCCCTCTCAAAGAACGCACCTTTGGATAGGCTCAGTGCAGCCAAAGGTGATCATTTAAATCCTCGTTCATTCTCCGTCATCCGTTCTCATTCAAGGACGATAACTTGTGACCAAAACTCCAGTCTGCATCACCTGAGAAAATCTTCCAATCAGCTCATTAATTTTAAAATTGAGATAGTGAACAACCGTGTGAAAAAAAGGAAAGTAGATGATTCCAGTCCCGACAAATGTTATGAGACTCCAGCAAAGAGGTCCTTTAGTCCAGAGACTTTGTCCCCAGACCTCGGGTGTTTTGTGGATTATTGCAGCTCCCCTACAAGAGAGGACTCAGTGTCACCTTTTGCCATCTCTAAGCTTGCACTTTTAGATAAGACAGGGGGGAAAAAAGGGACTCGACCCCACAGTTTAAAGCGTAAGGAGATGCTCTTAAATCCTGTGCCTCCTTTTGACTGCGCTGTTGAAGGTATGTTTTGCCTCAATCCGGTTGGCACTTGCACTTCTCACAACGTTGACAACTGTAAAGGTCCAAGTAGCAACACACTTCAAAATGAGACCTTGGCACACAGACAACAGCTGGAAAAAGGCAATGCGGTAGTGGATGAAGGACAAGAGCAGCTGAAGAAGGAAATCAATCTGAATGATGAGGAAGAGGATCAAGGTTATTTTTCCATGTCCTATGTTAAAGATCCTAAAGTGGAAAACAGCCCCCCTCCGCTGCCTACAACTACCTATAACTCCCTGCTTACGTCTGGTGAGACCCCACAGAATGAGCACTATTTTGGCAGCTCATCAGAGCAAGCTGGACAGCACAGTTCCTTAACAGTTAAAGATGTGGATCCTAGTCTCAGTGTGCCAGTGTTGGAGTCTGTAGAGTTTTTTGAAGATTATGTTGAAGAGTGGAGTACTGGCCTCCCCATTTCTCAATTGTCAAGTCACAGTATCACAGTGAATAGTGATAATGATAATGGTGCAGGAGACACCACACTGGACAGCAGTTTTGAAACTACACTACCTCTTCAAGTACAGGTAAGTTGACTCAACTATACTGATGATGGGGTCTGCACCCATGTAGAAGTGTTTCACTGAGCTCATTTTGTACGGTAGGTGTGTTATCGCTGTGTTTTTTTTTTTTTTTTAAGGTAAAATCCCTCGTGGTGGTTCCCAGCCAGGCAGCCACCAGCAATGGAACAGCAGCACATGAGACTGCAGTTTTCCAGGGTCACCAATATGCCAGGCAGGCCAGGAGTCAAAGGTATTGTAATGGCTTTACCACTAGGGGGAGCAGTACCAGCATATCAAACACATGGTTGGAAGGCATGGCTGTGGTTTAGTGGTTGGAAGGGCAGCTGCATCTATACTTGATGTTAATCTTTTTTTCCTGTCTACCTTTTTGTGTTCTTCTTGTGTCTGAAGCATGAGATGTCTTGAATGTCGTTAAGTGTACTTGCCTTTTTTTTTTTTTTTTTTTTTTAAAGGCCCACAGTCTTTGGTAGGGAGGAGGAGTGGGAACAGAAGAAACAGCTTTATGTCCATTCGGTCAGCAGGCACATGAATGAAAATAGAGAGAGAAGTCAAGGTATGAAATAAGCTCTTCTTGCTGAGTAAAGTAAATTCATGTCATTGAGTGTGAGCCAATTTTTACATTTATTGGATAATATCACAATAATCCACCAGTTTTTCCTGAGCGCTGTGGAAACTGCATTTATATGAACCTGAGCCCTACCAGAAACACTGCAGAACCACACACAGATAACCTTTTCTGAGGATTTTCCTAGCAATACTTTGCTTTGATGTACCATTCATGTGAGAGTAGGGATCTGGATCATGCACAATCCTCCTGATTGTTGTGAATGGCATTTTGTTTTATTTTGTTATTTCATGGTTTAGTTAGAATTTTGGACGTCACATTTCATTTAATTTTCAGACCAGTAAGGGGAAAATAAGAGTTATAATATTTTTGTCATTTATTATGAACATTTATAAACAACCAGTTTATAACTTAGAAAAATTAATCTAAATAAAATGTCTACTAGTAGAATAAAAACACAGTATACAGCTGCAAAACATTACTACTGAGTGCTCCAATAACCAAGAGAAGACTATTTAAATGAGCATTTGTGCTACACTAGTTTTTTCCTTGCAGCAGTGAAAGTTGCATTCATGTGTTGTTGTTTCAAACGAGTTGGCAAATAGTTTGACACTGCCAAAACCATACCTGATCACCACTGAATGAACATATTAAGCAGCGGACCAGAGCACAATAAATAAGATGTCCTACCCACTTGTTTGTGTCGGTGGTTGTATTTCACTGGGAAGCCAAAGTATCCTGTAACAGGAGACGTTAATGATAAGGGAGGGTCTTCTGGCTGTGACTTGTCATTGTAGAGGCATTGACCTTCGCTAGCTAGAGGCTTGGCTCAGCCAAGCATGCTGTCCCCTGGTCTGCTACTTAATGTGGGAGCGCAGATTTGAGAAGTCACATTTGTGTATTCTCAAGGTGTCATGAATGAGCTTCTGAACCTGATGAACGATGTGGCTTCTGATGGCAGACAGTGGCAGCATCCCATAGACCTCACTTGCAGGTACGTCACTTTGGATTTCTTTATATTCATAAAGAAGTGTGAAGTCCTGTAGGCAGACCTGTTTCGCCCAACGTATAAGACGTGGCTCAGGATCTGTGCTTGCTTTCAGGAACTACCAAAGACGCTTTGAAAAACATCCACCACAAATGACCCTTCATGAATGGCAGGCTAAGAATCGTACTGCACACAAGCGCTTTGCCCATGTCCCCAAAAGTTTTGAAAGGAGTCAGTTTCCCTAAATAAGTATTTGTGATGTAGTGTCCATATAAAAGTATTGCAGTTAAATTAATATGCTGAACTCAGTCCTAAACAATCTGCAGTGTTTTTTTTGTTGCTCAATTTGTGGTGTGTTTGTGGCTTGTGATTTTCACTGTTAATGTTTTTCTTTAAACTGCATGTACATTTTTATGAAAATTGATGCATGTTTTAAGGGTTTGGATTTTTTTATTACGTTATGGAACAAGCACTCAACCATTTCAACGGTATTCAGTGTCCTATCCTTTTTTGTATTTGAAATGGTCTGTTTTAATGTTAATCAAATTCTTCTTTTATTGTAAACTGAATAAGATTAAAAGCCATTGAATAGCAGACACTATGCTGAGCCAAAACAGTGTGTTCATATGGGTAAGTTGGCACAGAAATACCCTTGTGTATTGAACTTATGTGTATGCCTGTAGTTTGTACACAAACTATAAGACATACAGAAACTGCAGCTGAGTTATGGTTGAAAAGTGGAGACATGGCACAAAAAAGCCTCATGATTCCCACCTTCTTCCTGCTGCCAGGTCCTCTCAGTGGTGCTGTCCCATGGCTCTCTCTACATGTCATGTAGACTGCATTTTACATGCGCTTATACTCTCCAGCCACTTTATTAGGTACACCTGTACAATTGTTTGCAACACTTCCGCCTTAATATCTCTATTCATGAAGTTAAATGTTTGTTTTGGTTAAATTGCCATAAATGTATAAATTCAATTATATGTTTACTATTGAGGTCATTGTTAAAGGTGGTGTACTGGACTGTGTTATATCCAGAGGTGTTCCTGATATTATGACCCTCTCATGTATGTGGTTGGGGAGGACAGAAGTATAGACACACCTCTGAATATAATGTGGCCCAATACAGTACTACTCTTTAACTATAACCTCAATAGTAAACATATAATTGAATTTATACATTTAAGACAATTTCTCCAAAAACTGAAAAATGTTGAGCTTCATAAACAGAGACGTTAAGGTGGAAGTGTTGCATACAATTGTACAGGTGTAGCTAATAAAGTATACAATGTGACAACCGTGCATGTGCCCCATAAGAATTCCACACACTGGACTCAGTCCTGTATAAAACAATTTGCAGTGGTTTTCCTTCATGGCTGTTTGTGGTGTGTGTGTTTTTGTTAGTCAGTTTCAGTGTTCTCTGTATTTTTCTTTCAACTCTGCATGTAATGTTTTACGTTGTTGCATGGTTTTTTTTGTTTGTTTTTTAAGCACAGGTGTGTAAAACAAAATGTCATGACCTTTTTTTTTACCATATTTGAAACAGTCTGTTTTAATGCTTATCAAATTGTTCTTTTATTGTAAAATCTTAATCCCAACAGCTGCACAATATAATGCTTCATCTTTGTCAGTCTGCATCTACAGCGGTGCATAGGTACATGCTAACAGCAGTGACCCCTGGGAGCCCAAATTGTCAGCATGGGTTCCATTGATTGAATAATGCATGCTGTTAAAGTAATCTTGTCTGTACACATAGTGGGGCAGCCAGTTTCTGGTCAGCCACCCAGTAGACAGAGGTGTGTGGGTGTCAGTGAAGGCCTCGTGACATGTGCTCTACAGATGCCAGGACACGGGTGCAGCTCAGCAGCCACAGCACCTCCGCACACCTTCCAGCGGTCCCTCCATCATGAGCAGCATTTGTGCAGTGAGGAAGCTGTTTGTGTTTATCTGGCATGCCTCACAGTTCTCTACCTGTGTTAGGTTTTGTCATAACAGACGGTGCAACCGAAAACAAAAGAGAGAGAAGTCATGTGTGTCAGCTACAGAACCCCAGAGCCTCATTTCACCTCCTCAGCTAAGTGGTCAAGATGATTTGCTTTTGTACTGATGCATAGACAAACAATCTGTCAGACTTGAATGAGAGCCATGTGATTTGTTTTGCTACCGCAAATTCACGGCACGTTTTCTTAACACAAGTTGCTGATTTAGTAGTAAATGCATTTGCTTGAAACCACGTTGGGTGAATTTTTCAGGAGTCATGTCATTTTCAGGCAAAACTCAATTCCTCCTAAGTAACAGTAAAACAGCAAATTGTAGGTGCTTTTTTGATGGAAAAAGGTCTGACAGGTGAAGTCTTAAGGGATTCACATGCATTATTCATCACAGAGAAGGAATGTCTTCCTGGATTTTGAAAGAAATATTTTACCAGCCTGACTGTTCTGTCTAGAAAAGCTGATAGTCTAATGTTTTGGTTTGAATGTCACCAGTTAGTCTTGTTCTGAATAAAAATTGAACGGATTTTGTGGAAAATGTTTTTATTTAAGCATACACAAGTAAGCATACACCATGTTCTTCATAATTGAAGTTGAGTAACCTTGTGCATAATAGTTAGACCATGCTAGCCCTCAATAAGCAATGCCTGCTGTACACATACAGTGAATATAAACATGATAGCATTAATAAAGCAGTTCATTTATCCAAACCATGTCTTTGAAGATCTCATTCCTACTGTTACAAGAACCCGCATTGTGTACGTAGCCCTGAAAAATCCATTAACACTACCAAGCGTATTTTTCATGTGTTGTATCATACATACAGTAGCTTGAAAAAAAAAAAACATCTTCGGCCTTTGATTCCTTCAATAAAATCCTAAGTGGTTTGACACCACAGGACTCAGGTTGTTAATTATGTGATCAAAAAAGATTTTTCTTTTATAGCTGATGTGTTTACTTAACCTGATTTAACCACAAGTATCACTAGTGGCTGGATGTCCTGTAATATATTAAGAGTTTGAATTCAATTAGCTTTTTCATCAGGAGAAAAAGGCCATGTACAGCTGACTGAGCAAACTGTGCTGCGCTGTCAGCAACATGTAAAGTGTCTGTGTTTTGGTTTGACATGGTCATACCCCGTTTAATGTAAACTTCAAACTGAGACTGTTGGATTCTTATTTGTGTAGAAAAGCTCACATATACACATTGTTTATATGCAGAAGATGCAACCCAAGGAATGGTAAACATTTTGGGAAAATATGCTTGTTTGCTTTTTTTTTTTTTTTCACCTGAAGTTAGAGAAAATATAATCTATCATATTTATGTGATGTAACATGAGCCAGCAGCTGGTTAATGTAGCTTAGCATAAAGAAGAGCTAACATAGCTGTCACTAACTGTGTCCACTGGTTACAAAACCTCTGTGTGCAGTCTGTTGGCTGTCTTCATATCTCATGTACAGATATGAAGTATCAATCTTTCCACTAACACTGCAAGTAAGTGACCAAACATATCTACCAAAATGTCAAACTATTCCTTTAATAGTAAAATTGAACAACAACTTGCCACAGAATCAAATATTTACAGGGGCCATGTAGGCGTGTACTAAAATTTGAAGTTGATGCAGAGTTTAGAGTGAACTTTGAGTAAAATCTCTGACTGCTTCAAAAGTAAAGCTGTCAGCTGATGCTTTACTCATTTTAATGATTGGAGGAGTAAAATAAAAATGCCTGTAGGCAATGCTGCTGAGAAATAAATTGCTGGCAAATTTAAGCCATGGCCCTGGTTCAAAGAAATCATCCAGGAAAAAACCATCATCATGTGTTACTATGAGAATGGATGCCTGTTGATTGGAGAGCCCGATACTGGTGCAGTGTTCCTAGGGAAAAATGGATTCAACCTTCAACAGAAGAGACTTGAGTGAAGTGTTGATCACTCACCAGGTTTGTGCTGAGGACAGCTAAGCATCTGTGTTAATGAGTGACTCACCCTCTATTTCTCCTGCTGTGACTTTAAACCAACTCTTGCCTCTGACATGAATCAGTGCTTATTGGAGGAATGTAATCTTGAGGCTTTCCACTCTTATTAAGAGTAGAAGTAGAGCGAAAAAGGGGAGAGATAAAGGCCTGCCATTACGTTAAGCCATCATTCTACCTGCTCCGCTCAACCGTAACCTTCACCACTCTCTCATAACCACCTTTACTGCCTCTCTCTTCCACCACAATCAACGCCTATAAGAGTTGTGACCCATTACAAACACTTGCACACCTGTATCTGTCTGGTTGCAGTAAAGGCTTAGCCAGCATATAGGAGATATAAGAGAATGAGGAATGAGTTGGCACAGAACAAGTCTTAATCACTCTGCCTGTCAATGCAGATTTCCAGCAGCTGAGTAGAATGGATCAACCATAATGTTAGGAAGAGTATTTAAAATATTCAGCACTTTTCATCCCTTTCCCAGTCAAAAAGAGGCTTTGCCTATTTCACATAAACAGCACAATGACTAATATAATAGAAATACATAAGAGTAGAGGAGTTCTGTGAAAAGCCTCAATAACAGGACACTAACAATGGTGTATTAAGAAAAAGTCACCTATATTTTTGAAGTAGCTGTGCTCTGTTAAGACTTAAACACTTTCCATATTAGTCATGTTTCATTAAAACCTCTAAACTGACACTACTAAACAAGAATGAAATATAAAATGTATTTACACATTAATGCCCATTGTTTCATCCTCATTCTCAGAACTAGCTGAAAAGGTCAATCAATTCGTTTCCTTTTACTTTGCAAACATTTAAATATTGGGTAGAAGCTAAAGAATATGACACAAATGTCAGATACAGAGTTCCTCATCTTATTAGGTAAATCATAAGATATATTTTAAGGCAGTACTACTGAGTTTGAATCAGCCCTCAAATACACCACTTGCTCTCTTAAAACAAGCTTTGTTTTTTTGTTTTTTTTTTACAGCGTATAGAGCTCAGTACCGTATGGCGACAGTTGATTCCATATTGACTTTAGCCTCTGCAACATGGATGCAAATGTCTGAGAGAGAGTCTTGATAAAAGCCCTTCTGTCTTGGCGACATCTGATCAGGATGTTATTCGGAAGTCTCTGGACCCCACACCCACCCCCCCCCCCCCCCCCCAGTACTCGCCATCAGACGATTTTACAACAGCGCTGAAAAACGTTTTTCTAAAAGTTCAGAGGAGGGATGGGGATTCACCTTATATCTGATCTGTGGGTTGTTCATCTGTCTGAACATTGCATGCTGGGAGGTTGAGTTTTGGACAAAGAGGCTACAGAGTTTAGGTCCTTGCTCCCACACTCCACCGAGGGCTGTTATTGCTGATAGAAGGGATTTCTTTAGTCCACTCCTCTGTAGACATCCATAGAGTCCAGCCCCTTTTAAAGTTCATTATTTAGTTTGTCTCTTTGTCCTTTCCCAGAATGCTTTGAAATGCATCAACCTCAAAGAGAAGGACACAAGGAAACACTAAAGGGTTCATCCTAGATGTGGAATGTGACATTTCAGAAATCTTAAGCATGAAAAAGTAAGTGGATGTCAAAAATAAGTGTTCAGATCAGAGATGCTTTTCAGTATGAGTTTATGACTTTCATCTTCTTGGACTAAACTGAACTGGGTGAGTCAGCGCTGGTTATGAGCCAAGTGAATCCATCTAAAGCTGCTCTGGCGTCATCACAGCACATCCAACACATGGCTCTTAATTGGCCAGGTGGAGCCTTGATGTCCTGAGGGGGAAAACATTCCCCACAGGATGGCGAAAAGTTTCTGCCCAAGGAGTGGAGCATCTAAACTAAAAAAAGATACCAGAACAACAGGACTGTTCTGGTGGCACCTTGTTAAAAACCAGAGAAGTAAAACTACAGTGATACTATTGAACCATCTACAGTATTTACCTTTGATTAAGAAAACAGGATGTTATAGAGAAATTAGGTGAAGATGAGAATAAAGTAGGAGATGGTTTCGACAAAGTGGATGCAGCTCAGTGCCACCCAGTAATTGGAAATGTTCAGGTTTGTGGTTGTTGATAATTCACTGAATGACAGTGACTGAATGAGCGAGAGAATGAACAGGTCTCTGGCTTTGGTCCCTGGGGTTGGTTTCTCTGCAGTCCCTCCACCGCTGGAGCCAGCTGGTCCTCATCTCTGCTGCCCCATGGTACAGTAGTTATTGAGCATGGTGCAACCACTAAACTCTCCCCACAGTATCTCCACTGCCGACTGCTCTCAGAGCAGCACTGTGCCCCACCCCGGGAGCACGGCCATCCCGCCTCAGTGCCAGGCCCTGTGCCAAAGAAGAGTAGGCCCAGGGGCCTAGAGTCCCAGCCTCATCGTGACGAGCAGATGGGCTTAAAAGGGCCTGCTTGTTTGTGAGAACACAAAGTCTTTTGGATAAAGAGAAGTTGTCCTGGCAGTCACACCTCAATGATATTGACAGATGGCATCCTGCTGCTGTTGTTGTTGTTCTTGGGGAACTGTGGGAGGAGAGAGGGAGATTACAGGTATGACAATGCTGGAGGACTCACAAGAATCATATCAGCAACTTCTGCAATGAGGATGCTTCAGTACTCAAATGTTTTATTCATGCTTGTAGAAAGAGATTCAAAGGAATAAACATTTGTTTTGTGTTTCTGCACTGGTTTGAACACAGGGGATGAGTATGATATGGAGCTTTGTGTGCTGATCCAAAGAGAACCTAATAGAAGCCATGTTTTGAGCGTGTTTGCTAAGTGATGTTGAGGTTTGCAGTCATGCATGTAGTGTTGAAGCACTGTTTAGCCCGAAGCTGGCTTTCAGATGACACGGAGTGTGGATGAGGTGTCAGTGGAAAAAGTCTAAAAGCGGCCGGGACCATTCACCTGCCCGGCGCCGCTGCAGGGAGGCACCCAGGGAGAGGAGGAGGGGAGTGGGTTATACCTTACTACGCAACAGCCCCCCCGTTGGGTGCTCAGGAGTGCTGCACTCTGAGGAGTTTTTGGCTTTGTCCTTGTTATTGTTGGGCTCGTTGTCTTTAATTATGTCATACTGGCGACAGAAGAGAGCAATCACACCTGGAAGGAGAGGCAGCATGTATTCATGTTCAGCCACCTCTGGTTATCCTTTAAGCACAAACGAATGCAACCTGCTTTAACAAACCACAGCTGGATTTTCTATTTTGAGCAAGACTATAAGAAAAACTGCATGTGAAGCCTGTCTGATCCTGGGTTATTGAACAGTTTTGTCCTCACCTGCCCACATGATAAGTACCACCACAATGATGATGAGCTCCCCTGCCCTCAGCTGCGTGGTCTGGCCCACTTCCTCCATTGTCACTTCGTCTGTGGGAGTCGAGAGGAGACATGTTTAACAGTCTGTTACTGGAAACATAGAAGGACTGGCCAAAAATGTCAGAATAAATATAACTGGAAAACCGAGAACAATGATTTAACATGAACCACTATCATGCTGCCTAACTGTAAAGGAACTGTGGTCAATTTGTGCTGATCTGAATCACAGCCTCGGATTAACATTCATTTTATCAGTTCATTTTTTTCTTTTTGACACTGTTGTCCATTGTCTCACTATCTCTGATGCCCTTTCATAATCTGATGTTTGGCCAAATTCCCTTGCACACTGATTGGCCTGAGTTTTTGTCTCATCGCAGTCAGTTACACACAACCACTGAGGTGGCAGTGTTTCTTAGTCCTGGGGCAAGTCTGGGTTTGAGCTAAGTGGCTTGGAACAACAAATTATACAACATATCAGCAAAAATGTGTTTCTAAAAAATTGGGGTTCTAGCTGAGTCTAATGGCTGATACTTCAAGAACACTGAGCTTGAGGGGCAAAGTAGTCAGCATATTTCTGCAGCACAGGTCCCCTGTAATAAGAACGGACACATTGCTTTATCACAGAATGAGCACACAAATCCTGTGCTTGACATAAAAACTTTGCATTGGTTATCAGAGACGAGTTGATTTAACAGTACAGTGTATCAAACAGTAAACTTCTGATTTCAGTTACTTCTTATTATAACTAAGCAACTGCTGACGACAGTTGTCAGGAAAGGAAGAGTTATGTAGTTTTTTTTTTACTGAATGGAGGAGACTGACCTTGTGGAAGGTCTGTTTTAACATTCCTGTTTTATTTCATCCTTCTCTTGTGACATTAATAAGCATTTAAAAAGGATCAGTCACAAATGAATGGTTTCTAAACATGCACCTAGTCATTAGCACTGGCAAAAAAGTCCTGTGTGCTTCAGGGCTTTATTTGCCCCATCATAGTCAGCTAGCTAATAAGACCAATGTGGCATTTTTATAGCACTGGGAATACACTGGGATCTTTATGTTTCCACCTTAACTGTCTTCTATATCACAAAGTTAAACATGTCCAGTAAAATTGGCCTATATTATAGTCCAGCATTTTATTTAGTTTTCTACTGATAGACAGAGAATTGCTGGAATATGTACAATTTTGTTCCCAACCTTTTAAAGCTACCCCTAAAGGAGCCTAAACTACATTCTATGTACAGGTTAGTAACAACTGGGAAATTATGATCTCTGTAAACTTGAATAAGACTTGTTTTCTCTACAATCTTATAGCTTATAACACACTTCACAGTCATTTTAATTAGATCATTACTTCATCGCTGTGTCTGCTTTTCATATCCCCCACACTTGTGCCTACTGTTGTAAGTCTTGGCCTGTATCTCTGCAAATGGGACACTTCTTTTTCTTTGATGGTACAGTCAGCATTGCAGGGGCCCTAGCTCATCTGAAAGCCTGTTCCCTCCTTTACAGATAACTGGATGTGTACATATTTCTCTGTAGTCTTTATCCAAGGAATTCTTCAACTTGAAATTGGTATGGCTTCTGTTATAGTAGTAGTTTGCAATGGTTTGTCATGTTTGCACTGTACTGCTCTGCTCAGTCAGTAAATTCATTTGGGGTTCAACTGAGATATGTTCTGCTTTTATTTTACACAGCTGCAGTTCAAGGTCTGTACTCTTGAGATCTTGAACTTCCTTGCACTGTGTTTCCTGCTTGTTTTTCGCTATTCAAGCTTACCAAGTGTTGGTGGCACTATGTCGCAGCTTCCTTATTCCCTAAATGTTCTGTGCACTGATTACCTGCTCAAATCTCAGTGAAAGATTTGCACATCCATAAGGAGTAGTGGTACTTATTAGGTACTGTCTCATGTTGCAATTATGCCTTAAATTACAGGTGTAGCACACTAATGGCAGGGAACTGTAGTACAGGTACTGTTAAGAACCTTGGTTGCTATAGGAAGGCAGGTAATGTAACGAAATGATCTGAAAAGACTGACTTCACAGAGGCAGATATAGACATGTATTATGCGTGATCACTAATAGGCCAAATTCTGTGTCCCTGATGGGTTCAAAAGATCACAAAGAGGCAGAACATGAGGAGAATTGTGAATTGTTCAGGCTTCATCTAGACCATGCTAGCAGTTAGGATCATTTTCACAGTCTCATCGGTGTTGACATCACATATCATCAGGAGAAATATGAGTGCAAACCTGAAGCTCTTCTTTCTCATTGTCTGCACATGCAGTCTGCCTGTGGATGCCTGCAGGCTTCTTCAGAACAAAGCAGCAATATGTAGGAACCTTTTTTTTGCACTACTGAATGTTGATGTAAAGTGCACCGCAGCCTAGAGAGCACTCCTATCCTTTTATTAGATGCAGTGGGTGACATTTGGAGGACCCAGTGTGGCAGGAACCCCATGCTCCAGTAGCTTTTAGCAGCAAACAATTTTGCTGATCGATTGGCCTCTGTTGCCTGGTATTAACTAAGCAAAACACAACAGCCCAAGGCACCTGACACTGTTGCCAGCCTACCTCAGAGGGGCTAACCGGTCAGCTGTTAATGCCTCTGATGCTCACCAACCATTCAGTAGATGAGGCCCTGGGCTTAAAAATTTACAGCTTTAACATTTCAGTGCTGGAATGCTGCAGATATGTTAACTTAAATTCAATGAGATGAAGCAGAAATGATGTTATGGAAACCCTGACACAGGGGTTTGGCCATTTTGCCACATTTATAATCAAATTTAAAGTGCAAACCTGAAGCTTGTAGAGACAGCACTCATTAAAGGCACAGATGTCTGCATTACTACTGTGGTGTGACAATGACAATATAAAACTGATGTCGTGTTACTACATCAATGGGAAGTTAGCAGTATTCTTCTACTGATCAGAAACGTATCCTTTGAAGGTCAAATTTTCATGAAATAAACTGCATCTGATGTTTCTTTAAAGGAGAATTCTACAGATTTACACAGGAAAATGAGCTTATTAAAAAAAAAAAGTAAAACTCTTTCTGACACTGAAAAGCTTCCTGATGGAAGCTTTTCAAAGTTTGAGAAAATAACCCTGATGGGCTTTTGACTCCACAATTACAGTACAACACAAAGCCAGAAAAGCACAGTTTGGAGCTTTCACCCACACCAGGGACTAAAAGTAGATATATTGTTTATTTCGGCCTGTGTTGCTTCAATTTTGACCGACTTTAATTAGGTCAGTGGTCGGTCCACCAATTTAATTAAAGTCCAGGGCTCCGGCAGTGGAGGGCCACTTCACCCTGTATAGCAAAACAACTTGTGACAAAACAACTTCTGATTTTGGTTTTCTGCTGTAAGTGTAAGTGGCAGCTTGTGCGATACTGTAGCGAGAGCAGTGTAATGCAGAATAATGAGCGCTGTTGTTGAAATTTCTCAATGTTCATTAAAGGATACGAATTTTGCTAGTTTCTGGCACTACCATAAAAACTTCGATAGACAGAGCAGAGATCATGCACATGCACAGTGTAGCCTTTCTTACTGCAGAGACTGTAAAAAATGTTGGCCATTATTCGCCTTTGGAACTTTTGTTTAGAGAAAAAAAATACCTCACATGATTTGTGAGCATTAAATATGTCAGCCAGGGCAGCGGTGCAGCTCACTGGTGTGTTTTTAATAGTTTTTGGACAACAATTTAAGTCTATGGCGAATAGGCTAAGTCAGTTTCTGGATTCACAGACATTATGGTGAGTAAACAAAATTCAAAGTTGATTTTAGTTTCTGTATGATACGTTTTGAAAACAATAAACATAGAAAATCATCAGCCTTATCATTTATTATTCACAGTGCCACCTTGCTTTCTACAGTGTGCAAACTCAACAGCTGTCAGACCTGCTG